GTAAAACCCTCCTGATTGGCCCCAGATTAAATGTATACGTGAGTCGTCGCATCAGGGACCCGTAACCGCAATTTTCGCAATGGCTACTTCATACGTCTCCCAAGGTTCATTCAGTTGTCGCACTTTACATGAATATCCAAAGTATTAAAAATAAATTTAAGGAAGTGCAATGTTTGTTGATAAATACTGATTGTGATGTTTTGGTATTGGTTGAGACATGGTTGGATGAAAATGAAACATGGATATTGGATGGAATTGATGGATACCAGACTCTGCACTCATGCAGAAAAAAGCGGGGTGGGGGTGGGGGGGGAGGGGGCGGAGCAATAATTTACATAAGAAAAGGCATAAAATGTAAAAAATAGCGTGGATCCAATTCAGAGGACACATTCAACTGGATTTGTTTCAAGGTAGATACTTTAATATCCTTATAATCAATTTATAGAGACCTTTGAAAATCTGCTTGAACAATTCCCAAAGAATCACCTCTTGCTAGGAGATTTCAATATAAATCTGTTAGATAATGAAAGCGTTAGTATTAAAACTCGAATAAACAAGATAACTGTAAATAACTTTTTTATTAAAAGTACGTAATATCAACACAAATCATACGACTCGTGTCACTCCCGAAAATAAAACCTCGGTCGACTACGTATTGCTAGATCAACCCAAGTTGTGATTATTGCTCGTCAATAGTAGTAGAAGATAACGCTTCATCCGGTCATGAAAAGCTTATATTTAGCATTAAGAAAAAGGTCAAGGTGATTAAATCAAAAGTAAAATATTAAGTTAGGGCTATTGACCATGTTAAATTTAAATCACTTGAAGTGCCTGTATATACAGAATTAAAGACTTTCTGCCAAGGGAGGCCAAACTGAAACTATGTGATGCTAAATGCTAAGCAAACTGAACTAGGGTGACACTATATTGTCTAAGAACTGAAAAGATTACACAAAATTCCGAATTCCTGTATTCGATATTCCCTCACGTTCCAAAAAAGAACAGATATAGTTTATCGATAGTCAAATGAGACGGTAAAAAAAAAACCTCCTTTGGTGGCCGGCATTTTCTTTATGAAGCATGGGCGAAGTAACTGGAGTACGAGAAATTTATTAAAACAGTTTTATTTATGTATGTGCGACCTATATTATATTTTGTACTGCACTGTCTTTCCAGACGAAACTAATTCATGTGCAGGTGCAGGCGGCAGGGGCTTCAAAGAAATATGCCGCCAGAGACGCCGCACAGTGTGAAATTTTGGCGTTTTAGGTGCAATTAATTCGATTTCCCAACTTTATCACAAGCCTATATTTATTTTAAAATTAATTCAGGTAATGTCCATTCACTAATTAAAAACATATGTTTATTATCAAATTTAAGATTATCATTTAAAAATGCGCCGTACCTTATCCCTCGGACAAGACGTTAAAGAATAATATACACAATATTTAGAGTCTATTTATTTAAATTTTGCAGGCGTTGTATTTAGAAGTGTTAAGTTTCGCCGAAAATCTGCATTGATAATAGTTACCCATCCGAAAATTTTTGCTAAACTCAAAAATTCTTGTTTTGTATCACCAAGAGAACAAACTATTTAATATACACCAACTGGGAAAATAAGTGCTAAAAAATTTCACTGCCTTCTGGACTACAAAGGAAGTACGAAATCAACCTTCATAGCCATTCCACTCTGGATCGTCAGTGTCCTGTATATCTACGAATTGTAAGTAATCGAGGTAAAAGGATAGCCTATGAAGATTCTTCAGCATAACAAATAGAACAAAATACTCATCACCACCGAAGCTTCCAAGAGCTTCTAACATCTGAACACAAGATCCATACATATGACATCTATGCTGTTAGTGAAACGTGGTAACAGCCACAGATTGACTACAGTGATATTAAAATCCCAAGCTATAATATTATCAGGCAAGATACAATGCAAAGTAAAGGGGGTGGAGCACTGTTTTTCACCAGAAAGGAACCGAAATGTTGACACATTCCTGAGCTTAGTAATAACGCAGATAGTCTGGTTACAACTCTGGCTGCAACTTAAATGGGGAAGATATACATATGCAACTAGTATAGTATTATATAGACCCTATAGACATTTCCTTGCGAGTGCGCATATCCGTAAAAAAAAAAAAAAAAAATCCACTAAATAACCTTGAAAACAATTTAAGGGCTGTTACGATAAAATACAACTGTCATCCTATTAGGTGATCTGAAACATAAACACGACACAGGCAGCTTGCTGGACATAATTTGCGTTACGTCTGAAATGGCAATCGAAGAGACTGGAACCATTGATGTTAACCTAACTGACCATACAGCTATATTGATGAATATCCTGGTAGAAAACAATTGTGAAACCCAAACTAGATGCATGAGAATCTATAAACATATATATTGACATGCAACACTTCCCACAAGATAAACAACATACACTGGTAACATGTCTACTACCTAGAAAACATTGATGATAAACTAACCTACTTAAACAGATGTATTCTTGCATTATTGGATCTGCATGCACCATTGCGTGTTGTTAATCGGAAAAGAGATCTGGCCCCATGGATGACATACAACCTAAAGCAGATGATATGGCTACGCAATCCAGCATATGAAACATACATGCGAACCTAGACAGCTCACGACAGAGGCTACTTCTGTGATATTAGAAACCACGTTAACAAAGCAGTGAAAAAAGAAAAAAAAGCATACTACCAATTTTTAGCCATAAGAAGACTAAAGGATACCAAATCATTCTGGCAAACTATAAAACAATGGGGTTTCGTGACATTGAGAAAAGACAAAGATAGCCCAACCACAGATGAATACAATGTCGATGAAATCTAAAATTTTGCCAATAAAAAATCTACAAGCTCGGCAGGGCTTACGAACCTTCGACCTATAACCAACAATATCAAAACTTATTGAAAAAGTCGTGCACAATCAAAGAATGCAGTATACCGGGTGCCCACGAGATCACTTTCCGGCTGCCATTTTTTTATTTGTCTATCGATATCAACGAAAATTGGTAGGGTTGATATTCTAACCAAACGCCATTTTTATGCATTTATGACAAGTTTTCCTGACTTCCGGTTTCACCGGAAATGACCGAAACTTTTGATTTTTAAATGGCACACCCTGTATATTTTTTGTTTTTCGGATTCTACAGATCGTTTCACGTCCTAATGCACCACTTTTAAATCGAGTTTTTTCCAAATTTTGGTTTTTAAATTAAATTTAATTTTTTCAACTAGAGTGCCATGATCATCCTAAAATGACTCTACACACTTTACTTATTCTCAGAAAAATACAAACTCAATTTTATCTTTGTAAACTTTTTTGATAGAGGGCTGTAAACTCCATTATTTTAGTATTTTTGCCCTAGCTCAAAAACTAGAATAGAAACATATCACTTTCATAACATCACTAAATGCAGTATTTTAAGGCGAATCCAACGATATAATACACCACGACATTTTTCAAAATTTTCGTTTAAACATTTTTGATTTATTATGTAGGTAGTTCTTTTTTTTTACTTAAAATTTAATTTGAAAACGAAATTTGGACAAAACCCAATTTGAAAGTGGTTCGCTAGGATGTAACACGATGTGTAGAATCCAAAAAACAAAAAATATACAGGGTGTGCCATTTGAAAATCAAAAGTTTCGGTAACTTCCGGTAAAACCGGAAGTCAGGAAAACTTGTCGTGGATGCAAAAAAATGGCGTTTCATCAGAATATCAAGCCTACCAAGTTTCATTAATATCGATGAACAAATAAAAAAATGGCAGCAGGAAAGTAATCTCGTGGGCACCCGGTATAGAAGACCACAACATCCTTCACTCAGTTCAATCGGAATCTCGAAGATCACCATGGTACTGGAACTGCACTTATTAAAATAAATGATGATATAACAGCCCAGGACCAAGGAATGGCCACCATTATGGTATTGTTGGACATGACAAAGGCCTTCGACAGCATAGACCCTGCCTTACTAGTAGCCAAACTATATCACCATGGTATCAGGGGAATGGCCTGGGAATGGTTTAAACATTACTTATCACAGAGGCAACAACATGTAGAATTGAAAGGGTATCTCTAAAACCATCCTTTCATGCTCACAAACAGTGCCTCAAGAATCAATTTTGGAACGACTCCTATTCAATTTTTTTCCCGTAGACCTTCGAAGTAGCATAAAATTCAGCAGTTCCCACTACTATGCTGATGATATACCAATTATGTTAAGTTTCCACCTGAAGAATAGTCATATTGCAGCAAAAAGGATAAACTATGGCCTAAAGATCAATGCGACAAAAACAGAAGCAATGATCTTTGATAAAAAAGCTCAAGACCTCACAGTGGCCCAGCAAGATCGAATAATAATGAGCTCCGTGTCCATTAGATTAAATAACACCTGTGTCAAAAAACTTGGCCCGGGAATGGATCAGAAGTTGAACTATGCACATCAGGTCAGTTACATCAATAACTCGGCATTAGGAACACTGAAGTGCCTGTACAGAATTAAAGATTTTCTGCCAAAAAAATGATTGTATCTTAAAACTAAAATGTATGCAACAAAACTATAATATTTGGACAGATTGAGAAATTAAATTATTGTGAAGGAATGTCAGCTGATATTAAAAGCTGTTGAGTGCAGTTTGTAAAAATGGTGGAAAGTGGTTTTCCATGGAAATTAGTGGAAGTCGTTTTAATGTGTGAATAAGAAGACAGTTACTACTACTTATTTACCCACTTAGTTAAGATGTTTGGTTGGTCACCTTCATTCCTGCTAAGATCAAGGTTAAGGCTTGATGACTAGGCTTTTTGCACTGCAAATAGTGCAAATGGTGACGCTTGTCTTATTATCTTTGGTCACCATTTAAAAGATTGAAGTTTGCTTCGGCAGTGACTGTCTGAACTTATTGCAAAAGAGCTTACGAATGATCATTCATCTTTTATCTTTATTGTTAACATTATATAATTACTTACCGTTTCTTCAGAAGGTGGACTAAAGCTATTTTCCGAAAGTCTCTGGTACCCAGACGTACTGGTCCTCCTGATCTTTTCATCTTGACTCAACTTTAAAGGCAACATCTGCTGAGGACCACCACTAATAAGAGGCTTAGGTGAATCTGCACCTCCAGAGCTCAATCTAGAAGCTAATTTAAGTGGAAGCTGCTGTTTAATGGGCAAATTTTGTGAAACTTTCTGTTGATTGGTTGTAGATATTAGGTTTAAGGGAAGGTGTTGTTTGGGAACATTTGTGCCTTTGTTCCATTTGGTTTCTTTTCGCTTGTCTATGGTTGACGCTGAATGAGATAGGGAGCTCTGATTTGAGCTGACTGCTGACGCAGCTGAAGATGTATCTGAGGACTGTGGACTGCTATCTTCGGAGCTATCTTTGCTGCTATCCTCCATTTGGCCAGTTACTGGGATCGATGTGTTTGGCGATATTAGCAAACCCTGACTAGTAAGTACTTCCATTTTTCTATAAAGTTGATCCCTTTGTTGGGTAATGTCATTTTGTTCAGCTCGTACTTGTTCCTGCAGCCTGAGTAGTTCCTGTCGTTTTTCCTCTAGCTCCTTCTCTTCTTGTTCTTTTGAAGCTGCCCAAGAAGCTTTTTCGACGCTCAGCTTATCTTGCAAATTTCTGAGCTCTTCTAATTGCTGGTTGTGTCGATTATGTTTATCGCCTCCTTTTACACTGGATATTTGAGCTTGCAGACTGAAACAAAACGAGCCTTTTAACATACTCTGGACAATAAATTATTATTACCTTCCATTAGTGGTCATCAACTGTGAAATAATACACAGTAAAGTGTAAACGTAATGACTTAATTGTATTGCTGCGTATTGCTGTTCACGGCCTAATGAAAGTAATGCGGGCGCGTCAGGTGGCGCCCCCAACTGTTGTTGCTGCATGGGCTGCTGTTGTGGATGGGGTGGACGCGAAACGTGACCACCAGGATACGCTGCTACTTGTTGATGCATTTCAATATTTACATTTGTGGAAGAGCCATTGATTAAAGGTTTTCCTGTTATCACACAATTTCTATAAGGCAACCGTTCCTGGAAATAATTTTTGTGGAATTTAGCAATTGTGACAAAAAAAAAATAACTGGAAGGTGGTTTGGTTTGTCTATACAAGCTTTTATAAAGACTTACTGAATGGAATAGTTGAAGTGACAGTCTATTTGGTTGTTCAACAGTCACAAACCAACTTCCTGCTAAAAATAATTATACTAAAATAATCAAAGTAACTCACAAACAGTCTTGAATCTCCAGGCTTCAAATTCTCAAAATCGGGAGTACCGGCAGGCGTAGCGCTCGAGGTACTTTGTTGATGTAACTTTTTTCCCATTAATTTTAGAGGCCCCTGATTATTATCAAAGCCGCCAAAAGTCTCCGCACGTTTTGGTAGAATCGGCGACACGTACGTTTCGCTTTGATGTTCACCGGCAGAACTTACGCTCCTGGATAGATTAGTACCTGTAGCGTATAAGGAGCTAGCCAATTGACTTACTTCCTATGAAAAGCACAAAGGTGAGTTAAATAATATTGTGGAACCATTTGGGTATAACTTAAACTCACAACCTACCTGTACGGCCGTCAATACTTCTTTCCACATTTGACCGGTGTCAGCACTCTCGCTCACTAAATGTCTGTATGCAGGAGGTGATGGAGGTTCAAGACCTGAAGCGGCCAATAGTTTCAATTGTAAGGACATTTTTTCCTCTAACAGTAAGGCTTGTTCTATGTCGTTCTGTCTCAATAAAGCTGTAAAACGTTTGAAATATGTAATCCCGGAATAAAAAAAATATACATTATATCATAACATAACATAACATGCTTGCTATTTAGCTAAAATAAAATGGTCAAAAAATCAAGTTAATTGGAATTCAAGCAGAATTATATCATAATCATTTTGGAAAATAAGTAAAAGGTTTTACACTCTCAAATCAGCCTATCACTTCCACCACAAAACATAAGCTGGTACTCATATAACTACAAGTTTTTTTTTTAGCAAATTTTGATATGAAACAAAATGATCAGTTCTAAAATAATAGCTTACAGCTTCAACTATTTAGGGGGTTTCAATCATGCAATTATTCACGTACTGAATGGTAAAATTTAATATTGGCCTGATGAGCTGGAAGTCACAGTCGGTTAATCAACAAAAATGTAGCCAATTTTGGGTTATTTACAAATTAATTTAATTTTAACAACGCCCAAAACTCACCCCTAAAAATAAACTGCATGAACTTACTAATGACTAATCTCAAAATACATTTTTGCCATTTTTGATATGGAACAATGACCTAAAAGTACATGCAGAATAAATGGTCTTTAGTCGAATAAACATAGATATAGGAATATACAGGGTGTAACAGAATAACACCGACACACATTTAGGGGTGGTAGGGTAGGTCAATGCAAGTAATTTGACATGGGGTCGCAGATGCTACCCTACGGAGATACGAACTTTTTAAGTCTGACGCTGACAAGATTAACCGTATTATGGCGAGATTTAATGCTTGTAGACGCTTATGATAAACTTTAAAACGAAAAAAACCTTGTTTATTGCATTCAGCTATTCAGCTCACACCAAATAGAAAGAGATTTACAGAAAAGGCTCGAAGTGACGATCACCTTTCTTCATGCAGATATGGAAACGGTTTTGGATCGATCTCCTTACTCCTCCCAGAATTTCCAACCTGTTGTCAATTAGCTCAAAGGCCGTCATGATTCTGCCAAGTAATTCCTCTTGCAAATTCACAGAAGTTTCGTAAATTAACGCCTTAACTTGACCCCACCAGTAAAAATTCTTTGGAGTCATATCTGGGGATCGAGCGGCCTAGTGTACAGGGCCTCCTCGCCCAATCCATCGTTGCGGAAAAATCAAGTCAAGATACTTCCGGCAATCGACAATCTAGTCCAAAATGGTCTGGTGCACTATCGTGTTTGATTGTAGATTGTTATGATGGAGTGTTTAGGTTATGAACTTCTCCGCACTGCGACCTGCTTGGATCGATTGTGCTTCTCCATATGTCTAGTAGGTTCCCAGATTAAGGCTTTTGGCAAAGCTTGTTGAGACTTTATCCAATTTTGGACTTCCCCTATTATATGGTTTTTCGTAATGCCAAAGAAAGGTTCTGGTCCAAGAAATGGTGTTGCAGCTCCTTGTCTTGCAACTTGGTCCGCAATTTCATTCCCCTCGATTCCTTGGTGCCCTGGCACCCATGACAGGGGATCCTGTTGCGGGACGCCAGCTGCTTCAGGGGTTGTTGGCAGTCCCAAGTCCCATACCAGTCTGGACTTTGTGACAGAGTTGCTTAGAGCTCTGAGTGCTGTCTGACTGTCGGAACTGATGTGGATCTTCGCTCTTCGCAGGTGTCTTTCGAGACACTTTCTAGCGCAAAGTTCTTCTTCTCTTCTTTTTTTTTTTATTTTGGCTTCTGCTCCATTGGGCAATTTGCCAGCGCACTAGGGTATGCCCCGGGTTGTGTCTGGCTCCCATATCTTGAGTACTATGTTTACTTTGGTTCTGTTTATGTGCTGAGAATTTGTGACTGTATTGTGTTGAATATCGAGCTATGTTTATGATTGAGGTTCAATGTAAGTGAGACGTCACAACAGGCAATAGACATACACAACAAGTTGGATGTTAGAAAATCAAGATATCACAAGCGGATGGGTTTTGGTGGGGGTTGGATGAATGTGGGTAGTATTTCTTTTTTTTTTTCTCTTAGCTAAAAAAGATTGAAAAATAAGATATTATAAAAAAAATATAATAAAAAGTTCAAATTTCTATTTTCTTGTAGTTTAGAATCAAAACTGTTTCAGGAATTACCTTTGGAAGTATTATTGCCATATTAAAAGGTGCTGGGTTTTTTTTTTGTCAAGGAAGGTTTGGTAGATATCAAAGTTTGGTATATGATTTATAGGACACTCCAAGAATATGTGGTCCAGGTTTTCAGTTTGACTACACTCACAATAGGAATCCTCTTTTACACCTATTCTGCAAAGATGTTGTTTTGTCAAACAAAGGCTCGTACGCATTCTACATAGTAATGTCGCCTCTGTGTGTATTTAAGATTTTTGAACTTTTTTTTTTTTGGAATTCTGATTGAACCTGTTTGTACCAATTTCCCTTTTCATTCAGTGATTTTTTCCAGTGTTCTGAGTGTTCATTTTGTATTTTTCTTCTGATGAGGGGAAGGATGTGAAATGGTTCCAGAGGAAGTTCCCTTGGAACATTTAGGAATCTTCCTATGTGCGGGTTTGTTAGCACATTCATTGCCTGTAAGACCAGATTGGCCAGGTATCCACAGTTTTATGTTAATGGATGAGTTTGCTTCTAAGATCAATCGTTTAGTTTTGAGCTCTATCTCATCACTATCAGGATTTAAATTGGTTCTCTCAAGCTTCTGTATTGCACTTTTTGAGTTCGTGAGGATTAATGCCTTTTGTATGTTTTTTTCCAGTGCATAGCGTACTCCTTCGTTTATGGCAACAATCTCCGCTGTGCAAATGTCAATTTCATCTGGCAATCTTGCAGAAAAGTTAAATTTCGTGCTTGGGCAGTGTACCCCATATCTAGTTTTTCCATTCCCTTTGGAGCCATCTGTGTATATTTGTGTGTATTGACAATCCAGGGTATTGTATTTTCCATAAACTTGTATTAGTTGTGTCAATATCATGTTTTTTGAAATTTAAATTGATAACTGGGACACAACTCAATTGGACATCCATCTCCACTCCAAAAGCATGCAAGGACTGTTCCATGGTTCATCCTTCTGCCATATGGTAAGAAATAATTATGCGCTTGCACTAGTTAGAGAATATCCTATCTCCCAAGTGGTTTGTGTTGTGCATTTTGTGTTGTTTTATTATTATTTTTTTTAAATGGGTATGAGTGGGTGATTTTTGAAGCAGTATACTCTAGATAGGTAATTGACGGCTAGCCATCTTCTTCTGTATTCTAAATCCATCATTCCTGCTTCCGCTTCTAGTGCATTACTAGGGGCTGACCTCATAAAAAAATGGTTCTGAGTCCAGCGTGTAAAACGCTGTCTATCTTCTGTTTTTTTTTTTTTTTTGAAAGTGGCTTTAAAAGAAAAACTCCACAGTCTAGATGGGATATTACTATATAGTCCTCCCAACACTATTCTGAGAGTCGGAGAGTCTGATCCTCACCGAACTCTGCAGAAGGATTTGATTACGTTGAGTACTTTCTTTGCCTTTTGAGTTGCATATTCTGTGTGTTTGTTGAAATTGAGATAACTGTTCAGATGAATACCCAAATATTTGACAGTTGTCCAGTAGGGTATGGTGATACCATTTATTTTTATGGGTTGTATTTCATTTCTACGATTCCTTTTAACAAAGTAGACCGCCTCACATTTATCGTACGACATTTGCTAATTATAGCCAGAGGTTGATTCATTTTATCTACCATTTGAGTGGTAAATCAGCTCTTTAAAAAAAAAATCGTCGGCATGTCCATAACCTGAGTTTCTTCTAGCAGCAGTTTAAATATTTCCTGGATGTATATTAAATAGGATTGTGCTGAGTGGAGACCGGAGTTTGCCATTTTTGGACCAATCAGCTGTCCCTGAGTATTTTTAATGAAAATATTTCTCTTTTTCAAAATTCTGTATATCAGGTTGCTGACTTCTGTGAAAATGTTGTGCGAGATTAGTTTTTCATATAGTTTTCGTAAGCTAACATTGCCATATGCTGATTTGATATCTACAAAAACCGCAAGGACTGAGCATCCTTCATTGAAAGCTAGTGTTGTGTATGCAAGACAATCATTGACTCCTTTTTTTTCCTATATGCTGTTTGTAGCCTTGCAAATGTTTTTTTGTTTTCTGTTGTCCATTCCAGTCGATTTTTTATTAGGACTTCCAGTGATTTCAAGACCAATGGTGCTAGTAATATGGGTCTGTAGCTGTCTCAGTATTCTGCATTTTTGTCGGGTTTACATAGGGCATAAACTAGGTATTGTTTCCATTGTTCAGGAATTGGATCACCACGGAGCATGCTATTGAATATGCTCAACAGTTGATGGTTGGCTTGACCTTTCTTGGTAAGTTGATTATCAAGGAGTAGGAGATTCCGTCCAGTCCTGGGGCTGAATTCTTTTTTCTTTTGAAGCAGCATAGAGTTCACCTATGCTAAATGGTATATGTTCTGTCGCATCGTGGATTCAAAATTCTGGTTGGGCTCTGGAAACTGATAACCCATCCAGGATTCTTCCTCTCAACTCATCTTTCGTACCTCTGTTACAGAGGTATGAATTTGACACTCCTTCAGAGTGAGGGCCGCAAGGGAGAAAATATCGTACCTGTATTCCCGAACGGGTCATCTGTCTGGTATACAGATGGATTGAAAACAGAGCAAGGGACCGGAGCAGGGTTATAAGGCCCACTTTGGAAGCCAACCATATTACAAGCGGAAATATTCGCAATAGAACTTTGCACAAAGCCTCAGTTCTAACACTTTGGAAGACTCTGATTCCTCATCATCCAAATTTTAAAGAATTCAATCAAAAACTAGTCCTCTTGCAGTGGAACACCCACAGTGTGATGCCTAACAGGGCCAATCTAATCAACTTTCTTAGAGAATACAATCCAGATGTCGTCCTCCTTGGTCCTTAATGAAACCTGGCTCAAACCAGAGCTACATTTTCACCTACAAAATTACCATGTGTTAAGAAATGACATACATGATGGATATGGAGGAATGGCAATCTGCCTCAAAAGCAACATAAT